CGACAGGTCACTGTCACGGTTTCATTACAAAATGCATGAGCAATGTTGTAGGTACAATATTTTAATTATAATTCTCTGAAGAGAGAATTTCTGTACTTAATGACTACCTATATATACAGACTGAAATACCCCTCCTCGATAAGGTTCTCTCTATGACCTGTCAACTCAGACTCTCCGACAATCGCCTGTAGATTCTCGATACTTCTGTAACCCTCATGAACTCTCAGTAGGTTTCAACAAGGCTCAATGTGAATCATCTATGTTCCCTGTCATCCAAGATCTTCCCAGGAACCTCCCTTCGTATAATTGCCTGCGCTAGACAGCGTAGGCTACAGGAACCCTTAGGCTTGACAGCCGTCACAGTCACGCAGATATACCTACAAGAAAATTCGCTGTGCCAGGGTCCAAACGCACAGCTTCGAAATTAGTATCATAACATCATCTGGGGCTACAATCAGTGATGGACGCCGAAAAGCGTCGCACTACGCAAATCAAGTTCCATCTAGCAATCTATTCCACTGCGATAAGTAGTGTTGAAGCAGCACTCTCGCCTCTCGATTGGCGAAAAGAAGTTTACAGACGGTATCAAAGTCTACCTTCGGGTGGTCATTGGCCAGTTTGTACAATCAGGCCCAGGGAGCACTCCACTAACTCTCCCTGTGCGCCCCAGCAACCCTCCGCCGCCGAGGGCTCATAAAACAAGGGTACCGAACCCTCCGACAACCCAGACTCCGACCCAAAAGACAACTTGGGCGAATGTAGCCCGAGCAGTCCTTGGCCACAGCACTGGGCCATCAACAAAAAAGACAGCCCCGCCCGCCCCAAAAGCAAAGGATGAACTCTTTCGGAAAAAGCTCCTCGATTCCTCCGTAGAACGGAGGGAATCAGGAATTTAACTGGAACTAGCGTCAAATCTGGTTGCCCTACTAATTGCCACCGTCCCACTGAGAATTAATGCACTCACAGGTTCTATTTTCATCACGGAAAAGATGGTCGCCGACGAAGTCACGCGAGTGACCAAATCAGTTCCTTTTTAATCGACTTTAAACTTGATCGTCGACTTTGTTTATTGGTCTGTTATCACAGACACGGAGATAGATTCATGAGATTGCTTTATGAGAGTCTAGGATTAATTCTGATATAATTTGGTTGAAGACTTGTCCTCAAATTTAGAGGCTACAATGTCTTTATATATCTACGTACTTACCCCCATATTCAACATATCCGCTAGCCATTCTATATCTAGCGTGCATAGCCTGATTTATCTCATGGTTCTGGGATGGAGATGTAGTTTCCGAATAGCAGTATTCTTTTAGCTACTACAATACGTAGCAGCTTCAGATATAGTTTACCGTGCAATACTTCCACCTTAGCTACATGCCTCCTTGATATACTGCCGGCTCGGTAATCAGTGAGATAACCGAAGCTAAACCTTAACAATAACCTTAATTACCAAACCATGAATACCTAAGACAGAAGCCTGCAATCTAACACAATTAGGTTAGGAATTGCCAACTACAACCTAATCCAAACGCTTTTCTTGTTCGTCCTCACGGGACCAGAAAACCCGGGGCGCCATACCAGAACTGGCAAGCGCTCTTCCCTCGCGAACCCACGCCCCGACCTAGATTTCGCTTCTTAGATAATACCGGAGCTGCAAAGCTCATCCAACTTCGTCGAAATATAGTTCAGTGCAAACAATGTCATGGCTTCCATGCCTCTCGCGGTTGCTCCCGCGCTCCGGCTCGCTGGAACTACGGATCAAAAATGCACTCTGAAGCGGAGTGCAAAGCCAGACCTAGCAAGTTTGGACCGGTGAAAAAAGAGCAGCTTGCGATGATTTGCAAGCTCGAGCAGAAAAATCACACAGATTATGCTCGTATCAAAGCTGCAGCCGAAATAGCCATTCAGGCGATTCACGGCGCGAATAACGACGTCTACATGTCAGTCATATCGGGTTTTGGGGATTCTGGATTCCGAATAGGAGGTTTAAGGCTACGGCGTGCCTCAGTGAAGTCGTCGAGGCTTCAACACGTTATTAGTAGTACATCAGCTGGAAAAAGGGTGCCTGCGAGCTCATCTTCTGCTTTCAGCAAAGGTCAAAAATTATCACTTGATAGATGTGACAGGAAAGGGAACGGGCGAGAAGCGCGGGATCCGGACCTACAGGGATTTCTTCTAAATTTGATTTTGGTTTTTGATTTGATGTTTTGATTTTAGTCTCGCTGTTAACACCATCATTTATGTGGAAGTTCACACGGTTGAGATGAGTTTGGCCTGTACACAGTGATCCTTACCGGCTCCACCGGTCCTGTACCAATAGTAGGATGTAGAGCTTTTGTCACGGACTGACTGAGGTGGACATATTATCCTGCCAACCTCTGGCTCTAAGACTATATGGCTACTGCTATGTCATGGATAGATTCATGGTGTTGAGGTAGAGTCTGATCCTAGCTTCGGCTGGTATCCCTCTAGACAAGTTCTAGTTACTTCGATGGAATTCTAAGCTACTCTAGCAATTAGTTTCTAGATGTTTCGGGATGGTATTTTGTACTTTTACCAGTTCAATGGGCTTCGATCAGATTCTAGGTAACTCTCAGGAGTTCGACAGGAATCAGGCTGGAACTAGATTACTGTAGTTTGTAGCAGATAGTGTCGTAGTATAAGTAGCTGAGGTATCTTCATGTCGAAGGCTCTTCAGCTTTCAGTCTTGTACTATTCCCTAGATACCCAAGAATCAAGAACCAAGTCTTTATTGTTGTTATATTTTCTTTACCACCAAGAGCCCAAGATTTGGCGCCTCCAGTTCAAGTTAAGTAGCCAAGTCCCAAGAGATCCTGACAGCTTTTTACTTTAGCTCAGGACTTTGAAAATTCAACAATAACAACAACTCACAATCTCCCCTTAATTTTGAGGTCATTTGGAATGCGCTTTGATGTAAATACCAACCTCTAGATTTTCTTATCACAAAATTTAGTTTATATATCACTCTGTGTCCTAGTGTGACTTTTGGTTAACCAGTTTATGATCACTGTCACGGTTTCAGTACAACATGCTTGGGCGATCTTGTAGGTACAGTATATTAATTATAATTCTCTAGAGAGAGAATTCCTGTAGCTAGAATACAAATATATACACTGAGATACTCCTCTTCTGTAAGGTTCTCCCTATGACTAGAGTAACATGGAATCTTCGACAATACCCTAGAAGATTCTTGATACACCTGTTGTCCTCATGAACCTTCAGTGTGCTTCCAGAAGGTTCATTAAGAATCTTCCAAGCTCCTTGTATTCCGAGATCCTTCCCGAAGATTCCCATGCATTCATTGCCTGCGCTAGCCAGCGTAGGCTACAGGAATCCCTAGGCTTAACAGCCGTTACAATCACAATGATTTCACGCAGGTGTCTCGTGGCTCCGACTAATCAACAATGTAATGTGAATAGAGCTTGAGACTAATAATACGTGAATTGATTTCTCTAATACAGGATTGCCAATTTATTTAAATATTCCCCCGCACCACGTGAGCCAATCAAGAGCGCACAATGTGCAGGGTCGGGTTTCCATCAGTTGGGATCCACACTAGCAGGAGTTATCAACAACTATCCACAATAGATTTACATATTCTCATTTATCCCCAATCGCTTTACCAACTGATTCAATCTATATCTATGAGCCAAAAGCTTTTACAAACCTCCCTGCTTGACAGGAAGTATCTCCGCCATTTTCATGGATCATTGTGGCATAGCGTATTATGAAACACCATGCGGACGGCTAAGTTAAAACACAAATAATAGTTCAATGCACTTCTAAAACCAGCAAGGAAGACTGATAAGAATGGGCTGGTTTCATTAGGTGATGTGTAGCAGATTGTTGGGCATAGGGGCTGTGTGCCACGTGCTATTTGGTAATTTTATGTATATAAATACTCGGCGTGAAGAAGCATTATTCTTCACGCAACGTCTTCTTCAATTACCTTAACAATACATTTGTTTACCCATCTCTTCTTCGGGAAGACCATTTATCTCTTTCCAGCTCTTCATCAGCAAGACCCACGTGTAGCCTCTATTGCTACTATCTACCTATTTGTCTCTTCCTAGAGAAGACCAGTCATCCCTTCGACCCACTCATCGCCTTCATCGACCACCTAGATCTTCGTTAGACCACATACGCACCATGTGGAACACTGTCCTAACCTCGCCTTGAGAGCCATCCCCCGACTAGCCACCGCTTACACTTCACTTATCTTGATAAACTCCTTGAACAGTCGCTATCCACTTGATCCGAGCAGGATTACTGCTGACGGCATCCTCTGACTTCCACCTTTTAGCTTTCATGTCCCCAGTGCTTTTCTTCATTGCACGGAATGACTCGCCGGGTATTGTCCGCCACACTTAGAATTAATGGTGGCTATCGATTGTTTAAAGCAACGGTGTCATTTTGCATAGCCACCAGGTCAAATTTGAGCGGCGATCATGCGAGCCGAGATCGCTAGTTCTGACGGCTCTTGCGCCTATTTTTGAGTTCGAGGCCGACTTATTGTTCAGGAAATTTAACAGTCACCAGTCTTTTGACAGACGAGCCTCTAATTAGCCAATTTAGCGTGCGTATGAGTCGAGGCTCAACTAATCATACGTTATCCTTGCTTTACCTAGTGACTCGAGCTCTGTTAAACCGAGCTTATCTACTAATTCCTTTCCCAAAAGCCCTAAGTGGTCTACCCTGTACGTGTTTCATTTGCTACCGTTGTCTGAAAATGTCATATGGCCTACCTACTAGGCTTAAAATGATTTTGGTGCCAGTGTTTGGAATAATAGTCATGTTTACATCCCTCTTCTCTGAATATCTTAAGCCTCCTTTTATCAATAAATTTCAAAAAGTAGTGGGTTAGATTTCAGTACCAATTACTATGAATGGTCTATATGAGATCGTACAGGTAGTTGAGGGCCAGTTTGTTCATGTCCAGACCCATTATAAGATTGATTGCTAGATACATAGATTTGTCATTGCCGTCTGTAAGTGGCGAACTCAGTCTCCTCCGTAAACTTACATACTTTGTAAGCCGTTGGGTAAAGGCCTGGGATTGATGTCATCCCAGCCACAAACACACCGCGGGAGTCGACAATGATATAATTGGAGAGGTAATAACCTAGCAAAATATTTAGTGGGCCGCAAATGATGAGGACACAGATGCGTAATTATGACCTTGTTCTGAAATGTTACTTTGTCCTATGAAGTAATGGTAGAAAACTACTCCAGGAAAACGGGTAAAGCTGCCTTGCTCCAGACGAGCAAGTAGCTTATTTGAATACACCTTGTCAAGATTCTGCATGATGGTCTCTGCATTGTAAATTGTATTTGTTTGACACTTCATCCCAAATTTCCTATTAAGAATAGGAATTTTGGGTTTATTTCTGAAGGTATCATCATCATCAATCAAGTCAAATGAGACTGAAATGTCGACAAGGAGCGCCACGGCAGCGATGGAGAAAATCTTCATTTTGCAGCGAGTCTGTGTCGATTGGCTCGGGAAGTAACGGGCTGGATCAACAGGGCTGCAGAGAGAGTGTGTCGAGTGGACGTGGATGGGAAGATGAAGAACACTGGCTTGGTGAAATCTGAGAAACAGCTAGTGATAGCTTTATATGTGTAAGATTTCAGACCAATAAACTTTTCCTACTTCTCTTTGTTGCCAGCTCGATCCGAATGGATTAATTGTCACGACTCGAAAAGTCAAGGCGCTATTCTGCTGAAGATTCCTCTCCATCAAGCGGTGGATTTCGGTTTTGTCGTATGAAAGCTCGCTTGCCAGGAACAAATCACCGGGAAGTCTCGTACAGGCATTGGGTTGTGCGGTTTCGGCCATGGAAGTGTAATAGAGTTCACCCATGTTTTGTTGAAATTAAATATCTCCGGGAATGTCAAGGCTAACCCATTTGTAAGTCTGGTTAATTAGATGTAACGGCTGCTAAGCCTAAGGATTCCTGTAACCGACGCTGGCTAGCGCAGGCATTGATACCAAGGGAATCTTCGGAGATCTTCGGGAAGGATCTTAGAATACACGGAGCTCAGAAGACTCTCAATGAACCTTCTTGAAGCACAATGAAGGTTCAAAAGGATGACAGACGTGTCGAGAATCTTCTAGGGAATCGTCAAAGAGTCCATATTATTCTAGTCATGGGAGGGGGAACCTTGTAAAAGAGGAGTATCTCAGAGTGTATATACTTGTACTCTAGCTACAGGAATTCTCTCTCTAGAGTATTATAATTACCATACTGTACTTTCAAGATTGCCCATGCTTTCTGTACTGAAACCGCGACATCAGACTATCTTATTCCTATCCCATATTAATGTCATCAACGCATCCTTCATTGAAAATTGAAGGCGCATCAGAATTCATTTCACACTGGCATTCCAGCGAATGACTATGTCTCAAATGCAGGTTATAGGTTTCTCGGATCCATTACCAACATATATGTATTTAACTTGAAATTCCTGGCTCTTGAATTTGATTCCATTTAACCCGATCAGGCACACTTTGGGTCCATGCAGGTGATTATCTTCATTATTTACAAAGGAGGAAACCAATTTCGTGAAAACCCTCTGATCCTATCTGTTTTTATTCCTGTCAATTAGTTTATCTTCATGAAGCGCAGTTTACACTCTTCATCATATGCGGATTCCGTCCTCTCCCCTTCCAGAACGTTTTATTATATCCGAAATTGCTACCTAGACTTCCCCTGCAAGCCAAAACTGATTTGTAAACCCTTTGCTTAGTATCCACTGTGTGATTCTAGCCATATCTTCTTGTCTGTTCATCATTGCTTCAAATGACCTGTCTTTAGCTTATCGGAGAAAGTCGCCTGTTCCACCTGCCCACTGCGGACGCACAAATACTAGTGCTTGATGTTTTGCGACGGATATCGACACTGACAGCTTGGCTGTTCTTCTGCAAAGGTAAGAATGGAGTCCGATATGCTCACTTCTTAGCTGAATGGCGACACTGCTTTGGGCCCTGGTTAGGTTGCGGTGTACTTTTAAGGGTGTATCTTTGAGGTTCATTTTGGGGCTGCCTGTTTTTTCATCAGTAAATTTATTTACCGCTTTCGAATGTTCTAGATTGGCTGATGCTGGTCGGCCAGGGTGCTGTTTCCTGTTCTGGCTTGCCCATGAATCCTTCCACTCCTGAAAGGCCGCTATCTTTCATACTTCTTTCTGTTTTCCCTTGTCCTTTTGCCTTTTGCAAGTTCTTGTCCATTAGGCGATAAAATTCCTGGCTTATAAATGTGTCTGTATATAGATCTACGTCTACAAGGATCATAACTTACGATCCACGGAGATTGAGAAATACTGGTCAGATACTACAATGGATAAGATATGTGAACACGCAATCTCACTCTAATAACCTTGGTTTTCACTCAAATCTTCCTTCTACAACCTCATCCAAGACTTATTGTATAAGTCTGACCGCTGACACTGATTCCGCTCTAACCATATCCTTCGCTCAAGCTGTTGTGATCAGGCCCACTTATAGATCACACAACTTGAAATGGCTAGTACAAAGCAGGTGTAACCGACAGAACAAGCAATCCTATGTAAATGGTACCTCGTCGGCACGCAACAATGATAACACCAGTATTTCAGCCGTACATAACAACATGATCCAAGTATACCTTGTGACACAATTGTTGAATGGCTGAATGTCTAGGAGTTATTACTATTGATAGTATATTTTGTGTACCATCTTTGTGTATAAACACTCGCTGCTAGACCTCTGTACATGATTAACATTTTTCACTCTTATTTTCAATAGTCATCAAAATAGCAGATCTAAAATACTTATCCGTCTTCTTCACGTTAGACTTAGAGCGCTATCCTGTATCCACCCAAGTTGACTGCTACACCCACTGCAACAATTCTCAGACTTCTCATAACCTCGTTATTACAATAAAAGCTCATAACTTCATATTTGCCTTCGAGTCTTACCGCACTCGTGATGCTTGCGTGGTAGGAAGTACTGAACGCACGCCGGCTCGGCCAGCTCTTTTTGAACATGAGGTTCAGAATTCATTAATAGCTCTATGATCTGATTTGAATACTTATCATGTCAGGCTTACACCTCACACCCAACAGGTATGATACAGATTGATTATCCCAAAGGACTCACTATAGCTTTATTACATGGTTTGTTCGATAATATTTTTCGCAGAAAACACATTGTCGGTACAACAAGGTATAAGCGCATAAATAAAATGGAATAAAATGATACAATAAAATTCACCTATAATTCATTCTATCCATATATTCTAATCCTCTTATGTTATCCATGTAACTTACCATGGTACATGATTTGGGTCGCCTCATAGAATATGCACGTGACTGTGGAACTAAACCGTGGGGTGTTTAGTGTGTAATGCATGTGTGGGTATACTGGACCAAACTAGAACTCGATGGAATAGAGATAATGGAATCAGCGAGAGACTGATAGACTGAGAGAGAACGAGCTGGCCATTTCTCGTAGGAGAGAAATGATATCATAAGGGAATGTTCTAGCACTAGGCTGTGAACAACACAGTAAGTCTGGAGCAAGATATAAGGAGGTCTCAACCTCCATCCATTCTTTGTAACTAAGTTTCCTTTATACGAGAATATAGAGTCAAGTCTTACAAAGCACGAGAACACACGCGACAGCGACTATAGAGACCTACTGTGAGCATAACTTCCCCAAGAGTATCCATCGTCCTGCTCCCATATAGCCTAGTTAATATAACAAATCCTCTTGGTGGTCTTGTCCATCACTATCCATGAGAGCAAAGTTAGAAGCTATCTAATTTGAATATGAAAATTCGGCTAGTATCCAATGTAGATTCTAGGAATCCTCTATAGTCACAGACTTCGTTAGGATTATGATAATCTAATTCTCTTGGTGTCATGTAAGAATGCCGAGAGAAGATTACGTAAGTTGTACTACTGTCACGATTGGTTAATACATATTCCACCTATTATTAGAGTGCGCATGACCACAGTTCCAACACATATATAGAGATTAATTTCAAGAAATTAAACGCCGTACGCCTTAAGATTGGATTCTTATTATAGTCCTGACTGAGTCAATGACAAGGGAAGGCTCCTAGAATCTATGTATAAGAGACTAGCTACATTTGCACAATTCCAATTTGAGAGCATTCAAACCCTGCGCCTTTAACACTTCCTCATAACGCTTGTCCTTGAGAATTATTACCCTTCAACAGAAGTTAATCCTCCCAACCTAATGTTGTGAATTTGTTAGATGTAATCTGGAAGTGGTGGTGCAGAGGCTATTTTCTTAACTTGGTCAGGGCTGAGGCAACGGGATTTAGATTTGTTCTCTAGTTCTAACAATTTTGGCTTCCCGTTTTTTACAATTTGCTCATTTGTCCCTCGCTATTTTGATAACATGATAATCTGAACATGTGAATACTTAACCTTTGATAATCCGAGCCTCGACTACCTCATTTGTCTCTTTGTAATTAATTCGCACCTTCGCATCTTCGCACATTCGCACAAGCGTAACTTCGATAATTTGTCTTCGTTGGAATCGACTCGACCTCTGCAGCTTAACAGCTTCGAAAAACTGCCAATAGGTAGGTTCATAACACCTAGGCTTTGCCCCTCCCCCACAACATCAGGTTATCCTTGGAAAATTGAGAAAATTTTCTCTTCTCTTTTCTGCCAGCATCTGCCGTTTTCTCGGTGGTGGTCCTTGTTGGAACAATGGTCTCAAACTTACGTAATATATTCGTGGTATTTGTTCATGATACCATAAGGGTTGGAGTAGATGGAGAAAGTTAATCAAAGTATATTGAATTCAATTTTATTTCACCCGATTTGGCACCCTATGGGCCCATGCGAGCAGCTTTGAACCTATCTATACATTTACATGAGTAGGAGACCTTGCGATAAAAAGCACCTCCTCTTATCAAAATTTCCATCTGTATTGCTTCGTTACCTACACTAGGTGCAGTTGTTATAAATGCAAGGTTATGGGAGGTGGAATAGTCACGGTAAATAGCTGCACGTTCACTGAGACTTGAAGGTAGAGGTAGATTGTAATGAATTAGTAGACTTGCTTTCATTCAAGTTTAGAAAATCACTACTTTTATATACATATACCACATTCTATGGCTTTCCGTATCCCCAGTCGCTCAGTTCCATTCGGCTCTGAGTCATCACATTCTATTCCATCTGACTCTAGTCTGTTCTGTTTTAACCATCAGATTCTACATCTCTGTGATCCACAACAACCAGATGTAGGGGTGATTATGTCATCAATCAAAACACTGTTGGCCTTCAGTCTGTGAGAGGACTAGCTAAATTATATCTCGCCATCCTTTCCCTGCCCTTGCGTGCCGAAAAGTGATGACTTTGGTCTCGAATTCGATCCTGATGGTGCAAATTGTTGGGGTGTTGGTGCTGGGACCAGAACTTGTTTGCGCGGGCGTCCTGGTCCTCTCCTGAGTA